TGAGCTTTATCCTCTAAGGGAATTCAGAAAGTTTGACAGAAAAATAACTATGCCACTTTGATCATACTTTTTACTACATTTCTTGTAGCCAAGATTTTTTCCTTTATGCTTTCTTCCACTGGGGTGCATTCTTGTGCTCTCTCCTTCTCTCTCACCACACACACACACACACACACACACACACACACACGAGATGTATGTCCTACAAAATATTTTCTTAGTTTTCTTCCTTTCCTTAGGCCAATGGCTCTGAAAGCATGTGGAAATTATTTGGTTTAGAATTTATTTCGGAGGCATACACAAGTACACATAAGTCTAAGTAAACATATGTCACATTTGCATAGTTTGTGACCCTAGCTTGCTTTCAGAGTAGCCTAGCTCATGTACTCCTTGGGCACCATCATTGAGGGGAAAAGCAGGGCACACAGCAACACTCCGGTACTCTGTTTCCTTCCACCTTAAGCTTCATGTCTACAAGCAATTTTAGTTGAACTTCAAGGGAAAAATCAGCGTAAACAATTGCTACTGAATTGGGCGTTTTCATTGTCCAACAAGCACAAAACCCAACCTGTACTGGGAAAACAAAAAAGTTTTATTATTGGCTAGCAAGGAAGCAGAAGATTATGACTCAAATCTGACTTGCAGTAAGTTTCACAGATTAGATAGAAGTAATTGGTATTTGGGCCCAGCACAGTGGCCTAGTGGCTAAAGTCCTCACCTTAAACACACCCAGATCCCATATGGATGCTGGTTCTAATCCCGGTGGCCCCACTTCCCATCCAGCTCCCTGCTTGTGGCCTGGGAAAGCAGTCGAGGATGACCCAAAGCCTTGGGACCCTGCACCCGTGTGTGAGACCCGGAAGAGGCTCCTGCTCCTGCTTTTGGATTGGCTCAGCTCTAGCTGTTGCAGCTGCTTGGGGAGTGAACCATTAGACAGAAGATCTTCCTCTCTGACATTCCTCCTCTCTGTATATCCGCCTTTCCAATAAAAATAAATAATTTTTAAAAAGATATATTCCAGGAAATAATAATTAATAATTTCCCTAACATGGAAAGAAATGAGAAAATAAAACACAGAAAGCGAACAGAAACCCAAATAGATTCAACCAGTCCTCACCAGGATATATCATAATCAAGCTCTTATAGGTTGAAAGTAAAGAAAATATACTTAAATATGCACATCATAAAAGTCAATTAACTTTTACAGGAACCCCAATTAGACTCACAGCTGACCTCTCAGAGGAACCTCTGCAGGCCAGAGACAATGGAGTGACATATTAGAGATCAAAAAGAAAAAAAAAAAAGTCAGCCCAGAATAACATAATCAGCAAAAGTTTCCTTTGTATTTAAAAATGAAATTAAATACTTCCAAAGCAATACTCCCGTCAGACTATTAGCAGAAGACATAGGAAGCGCATGCTAAGCAAGAGGAGAACTGACTTCCAGCTCAACACATTACACTGTTCTTATCAGGAAAATAATACTGACTTGGCATCCCATAGGTTCCGTCCAAACAGGCATTGATAAATGCTTCTTAGAAAAACCACCAAAAGCACAGGCAGTCAAAGTCAAACAAATGGACCAAGACAAACTAAGATCTGTACAGCAAAGGAAACAGTCAACAAAGCCAAGAAACAGCTGACACAATGGGAGAAAATCTTTTCCAACTACACAACAGATAGGGGACTAATATACAAGATCTACAAAGAGATTCAGAAATTCACTAGTAGCAAAACATAACCCTTAAGGAAATGGATGAAGGAAGTGAGTAGGCATTAAAAAAAAAAAAAAGAGTGGCTAATATACATATGAAAAAATGCTCAAACTCCCTAAACACTTAGAGAAGTACAAATAGAAACCACATTGAGGTTCTAACTAACTTAAGTGAGATTTGCCTACATTCAGAAATCTACTAACACCTGGTGGCATGGAGGTAGGGAGAAAGGTACCCTACTCCACCATAGGCTAGTGCAGCCACTATTGAAGTCAGTATAGAGGGTGCTAAGACGGCTGAAAATTGATCTACTGCATGACCCAGCTATCCCACTTCTGGGAATGTATCCAAATGAAGTGAAATCTGCATATGAGAAAGTGACCTGCAAACCATTATTTATAGTAACACAATCCACCATAGCAAGGACTTGGAAACAACTCAGATGCCCATCAAAAGTGGAACGGATAAAGAAATGATGGAACATCTACTCCATGTAATACAACTCAACCATTAAATATAATTTGATTTTCAGAGAAATCCATAGGATGCTTCATAAATAAGTGATATGTCAGTGTAAAAAAAAAAATGAATTCTACCATTTAAAACAAAATGGTCCCAACTAGAGGTCATTATGCTCAGTGAAATAAGCCAATCTCAAAAGATAAATAGCATATGTTCTCTCTGTTATAAAGCAACCTTCTTGAAAAATATATAATAGATATCTTAGTAAACATCTATGTACATAATTTAACTTAGAGTAACTGTGTAATGGAAATTAGCGTAATTGAAAGTTAAGATGCATCACAGCATACATCTTTACTCCTGAATAAAAGGAAGACTCCTACTGAAGCTATGAAATAGTAGCTTGACAATCAGATACTAGACTTTCTACCATTGTCTATACTTCAATGCCATGATACACTTAAATAGCACAATGTTGGGTTTGTGACTGTTGCTGAAGGACTATGCTATTATAATAATATGGGGAAAACCATTGTGGAAGAAGGGTAATGGAGAGTGTGGTAAGGGAGGGGGAATCCCTATACCTATAAAATCATATCACTGAAAATATAAATTTTTTAAAATAAATAAATAAATAAATTTATAATGTATAAATTACTAAAGAAAAAAATTTAACTGTTCTGGAGCAGTTAATCAAGGAGAGTGGGTGCAACCTTAGAGCATGCATGACTCAGATTGTTCATTATCAACCACTGCGAAGAGCTTGAGGAGTCTGGGGTGGAGTTTCCCAGGCACTGCTCTCACAATAAGCCGTATGGAACGTTAAATGCCTAATTGAAACTAGAAGGGTTGTTGAAAATTATTCTCAGCAAAAAAAAAAAAAGAAAAGAAAAGAAAAGAAAAGAAAAGAAAAGAAAATTATTCTCAGCAGAACAGTGGTAGCACAAAGAGAACATTGCCCTCATCAACTGAAATCAAACTCTTATTCTTACTCATAGTTTTGTTTAAAACTGTGGCAGAGACTATGTTTGGGATATGCAGGTTATATCTGGAGAGAAATGAAGCATTGTGCTTTCAGATCAGCTATTTTTGGTTGATCTTTCCCTTTGTGCTTGGTATGTCTACATGCACCCAGGCAGCATGGATGGATGGATAGATTGATAGATGATAGATAAATGAGAGAGAGAGAAAGAGAACTCTGCTTACAGGAAAAATTATTTTCAAGATAACATTCTCTTGAACTAGTACCTAGAATTAAATTTTGTATCTAATTCTTAAAGCATTCAGCTATGGTGTGTGCACACACATGCATATGCAGATTAAGGACTACCTGCCTATTTGGCGGTAGAGAAATGAGATAGAAAACAAATGCGATAAAAATAAGAAATCATAAAATTTCCCTCTAATGCTGTAATCTTCCAAGTGAAAAATTTAATCAGAGACATCAAATTCACCTTGATGGATATGTCCACTGAAATTGTTATAAGTGAGAAAGGCAATATTATTTTGGTATAAAGATATTTTTTTAAAGAAAAGGGAAATATATCGTTATTAAATACATCAAGAGTGAGGGAAAAAACATTGAGACAAACTTTATAAGCAATACAAGTCAAAAATTCAATCTAAAGCATAGATGTCATCAAGAAAGCTGATTATTGGGCCCGGCGCGGTGGCGCAAGTGGTTAAAGGTCCTCGCCTTGCACGCCCGGGATCCCATATGGGCGCCGGTTCTAATCCCGGCAGCCCCGCTTCCCTTCCAGCTCCCTGCCTGTGGCCTGGGAAGGCAGTCGAGGACAGCCCAAAGCTTTGGGAACCTGCACCCGTGTGGGAGACCCAGAAGAGTCTCCTGGCTTCGGACCGGCATAGCATCGGCCGTTGCACTCACTTGGGGAGTGAATCATCGGATGGAAGATCTTCCTCTCTGTCTCTCCTCTCTGTATATCCGCCTTTCCAATGAAAAAATAATAAAAATAAATCTTTAAAAAAAAAGAAAGCTGATTATTGAATTATTTTAGAAATGTAATAGTAAGCAATTACTGGTTATAAGCAAAGATTCTGAAGTCCATTTCTTGATCTTAAAACCTAACTTCATTTAAACTCTGTCAGCTATTTTATGTAAATTAGGAAGGATAAAAATACATACCTGAAGGTTGTTGTAAGGATTAAATGAGATAATGAGCTTAACTAATTCAGCACAATACTTAGTACAAAAGAAGAATGCATGAAGTGCTAGCATCCATAATTATTTCAGAAGGAACACAGGAGCTATATTTATCATATTTTAAATAACTAAATTTACAATACAAAAAATCATATCTTTTATCTTACCACTATCATTTATCCAATAATAATAGAAGACTTTTATTTTTACATTTTAGGTTATTCAAAGATTTTGAGTATTCTAAAACACAAAGGGTCTAATTCTATCAAGTTAAGCCTAGAGAACATCTTTTTCACCTCCAAATTACAGCAGATTCTCTAACTGAAAAATTTAAAACTTAAAAAGAATCTACCATATTTAGGTTTAATATGCTACCAGGAAAATGTGAAACAGTTAATAGGTTCTTTAAAACAAGGCTATTTTTATTATAATTAGATTATAAAAGAATATTTTCTTGTTTTTTTCACATAAACTATATTTGGTAATCTGACAAATATTATTTGGCTATTGAATGACTGGATACCAGTAAACTAAGTAATTGCCAACCTGGTCATTGTAGCAACTGAAAAGTTTGATAGGAAATGAAATGAATAATTTGTGATTTAGACATCATAGTCCATGAATTTAGAATGCAAGATACCTATGTAGAAAATGTATTATGGTGCTCACTTAGGCCATGCATATACTGAAATTAGAATGATACAGAGAAGATTAGCATGGCCCCTGTGCAAGGATGGTATGCAAATTTGTGAAGCGTTCCATATGTTTTTAATAAATAAATAAATAAAAATGCATTGTGGATTTCATTAAAGTAACAAATGTATCTTTTAAGTCATTAAAATATCTATAGTCTCTTTCCTGATACCAAATTGTCACATGCCAACTATACCAAAGGCAGTCTTGTGATTTTAATAAAAAGTTTAGAAGCCTTTATTATATATCTGTATAACCAGACATGCACCATGTATGTACTCAGGTAATACAACATAATCACATACAATACCTGTGAAGTTGCATGCTTTAAAGACTTACATCATCCAAGTCAACAATTCAAAATCTTAATTTCTTTGCTGAAGAGTTTTGGTATTTGTGGTATCTGAAGAAATCAAAAATAATTAAACACATCAAGGTACTTCTAAATCTATAATTCTGCTTTCATACTGAACCTCACAAAATACACCAGAGAAGAAAAACTATAATTTGCAGGTTTTAGAAAAACTCATCTATTCTGGACCATCATAGCAACCCCTTCAGGAATAAGAGGCAGGTAGTTTTAGACATTGGAGTCTTGAGAGCTTCATAAATGATTAAGCATAAAAGAAGGAGTCTCCCTTTCAGAAAAAATTCAAATGATGTAGGTAGGTAAGCTCTCTTCATAAACTGGAACTTAGGGCCTGACCTCCTCCCTGCACTTCAAATATTAAAAATAGACACTGTATGGTGAAGAAACTTGTCAAGTCACCTAAGCCAAGTAAGCAAGATTAGCATTACTCACACCACAAGGTCACTTGGGAAATTATTCCAATGTAAAGCCTTAAAAGAAAAAAAAACATTAAAAAAATTTGAACACCTATGAATTGATGCTAGTGCTAGCACCAGAATTCTGAGACTTTCCCTCTTGGGGCCTGTGCTGTGACAATGATTAAAGCCACCGCCTGTGCAGCTGGCATTCCAAATGAACACTGCTTCAAGTCACGCCTGCTAATCTCTTCCTCTCTGTGACTCTGTCTTCCAAATAAATAAATCTTAAAAAAAAAAAAACAAACACGGAAAGCTTTCCCTCTTCAAATCGATGACTTTTTCATTACCAAGAAGAAACTTTTGTGCATATATGCATAAAAGAATGTTTCAAGTTATTTATGCTTCAGTTGAATGCAATAGCTTAAGTTAATTAATCTTACATCTTCAAAGAGAAATCCTAAGAAAGGTATATTAAGCATTTTTTTGATAAAATCATTTTAAGTCATACAATTTCCTCTTGTTTTTAAGTCAAGAGCTCAATTGGTTTACATATTTGGCAGACTGATTTTCCCTAAACATGTAGCAACACTTAAAACCTGATTAAATAAATCCCCATAGACATTTGAAACCACAACTGCAAGTTTTTAACCCATGCAAATGCCTTGGGCATTACAAACACCTAACAAGAATGATTTATAAACCTAATTTTTAAAATCTCTTAGTTAAACCCTTACCCATTATTTAAAATCTCATTTTCCAGAGTAAGAAAGCTTTCTTTGAAATAAACTGATGCTCACCAATAGCTTCTTTTCTTGCAGTTACTGCAGTTACAGGAGCAAATGGTTAGCAGGTGCTTGAGGCACCCTCTATCGACATCAAAATAATGAGTTTTTGCTCCAACCAACAGAGCCAGTAGTGTGGACAGGGAAAGGGTCTGGGGATGAAGCATCTGCAGGAGACCAGTGATGGTAGAAGTCTCTGCAAAGTCTCTTTATTGCTCCTTCACCTCTCATCATATACTCTTCGCCCCATGTCTTCATTTAGCAGGATATTGGATACAGAGGAGTCCAATTAGTCTAGGTGTTTTTAGCCACAAGCCCAGTTCCTGTTCCTGCCCATTCCAATGAGTGCTAATCAACTCTTTAGCCCACAACACGTCCCCCTTTTCTGTTTTAAAGCAGAATTGAATGTGCCTGTCTTAGGTTGTGGACTCTCAGGTTATCAGCCTTACCTGTTATCAGGAATCTCTGTAGCTTTACGGAGCCCCTGTCTTATGTTGGTCAGTGCCCGGTCCATCTTACCTGCCACTAGCTGCCGTTCAACACGTTGCCTACTGCAGCTGCACAAACCATACTTGGGGAGGCTGGTAACCCTGTTCCGTGGCTAGGAGTATCTTTAGCTGGGTAGCAATGAACAAACAGCAGTTCCCGGGCTTGGGAAACATTTTGCAATTGCACAGGTGTTACATACATAAAGACATGTGATGGGGAACAAAAGGTCCTGACCATACCCCACAGCATCTGCTGCTCCTCTGCCAACAAATCAACCTGATGTTACAATATAAGTGTGCCCACCCATATGTGTTCATCTATACACTTCTGTTGTTCCATGGCTCAGGCAGTCAGTTCTGCAAGCTTGTTCATGGTCTCAGCGGTCGCTGTAGGGTGTCCTAGGGTCACCGCTGCTGTGGTGGTGATGTCGACACCAGGGCAACGCTGGCTACAATGGTCGATGTTAGGCCAAAGTCTTTTTTATGCTTTATTAGGCCAACAGAGGCCTCTCTGTTAGCCCTGACAGGCACAGGCAGGATTCCAGGCAGCCACATGACAACAGTAATATCACTATTGCCATTCCTCATGCTGTTAGGGTGCAACTGACCTTGGTGCAATTCACTTCAGAGACATTTTCTGTATGTAAGAAAAAAACAGGGGGATAACACAGGCAGACACAGGCTTAAACTTCAAGGAGCTAAGTTTCACCCAAGTGAGCGAGTCCTCAAATTCAGAGGAGTGATAGAACTAATAATTTCCATAGGAATAATTGCCTCCCTTAATAAGAGAAAGGGAGGGGCATGCAGTGCATGCCCATACCCCACAAAGCTGGTACTTAGAAAAGGCAGGAAATATCAGGACCTTGGTGTTCATAGGAGAAAGAAAAAAAGAGGGGTGCTTAACAATATACTAATATACTTATATAAAGGCCTAATATACTTGCTTGTCCTATCGATCTTCCAACTCAAATGCCATCACCATGGCCAGTACCTGAGCTTTCACAAGACTCTGCAGCAGGAACTTGCCAGACAAGCCTCTCGGGAATCCACCATGGGCCATTTTCATTTTCTGGGAAAATACAAACTGATCCTCGCCCCCATATGAGGACGAGATCTGGGCCTTGCCACTGACCAGTCAGGGATCCTTCCATATCACATAACCCTTCTGCTTCTGAGATGGATTCCAATGACCATCTGCAGCATTCAATGTTAGAAAATTTAAGATAAATAATATAAAGTTCAAATGCCCCCAGGGAGTGCTATACTCCCCCTTTTTTGTTTTAATACGGTAATCCTTAATAGTACGGTTAGCATGTTCCATAATACCTTGTCCTTGAGGATTATAACGAATGCCTGTAATTAGTTGTATATGGTGGGAGGCAGGAAAATCACAAAACTTACTGCTGGTATAGTAGGGACCATTACCAGTTTTAATAACTTTGGGAGTTCCCTAGACAGAAAAACATGTGTTGCAATGGACCAGAGCATGCCTGACTTGTTCCCCTGCCTGAGATGTAGCTAGAATAAATCCAGAACAAGTATTAACAGTACCATGCACATACTTTAGTGTCCCAAACTCTGGGATATGTGTCACATCCATTTGCAAATAATCTTAATATAATTCAATTAACCTGATTAACTGTCTCTCCAAAATGGGAGATTAATCCATTGGCATTCTTTTTTGATTGGTTGGTTATACTTACACTACAACCTAACAATTTATTGATGACTTGTGAGTACACTAGGAATAATATGATCAAATATGAATGACACTGTAATAGAAAGCACAGAGGTTTCAGAGGAAGCAAATCAGGTTCAAATCCCATTTCTTCCATTAAAAAAAAATCTTTTCTAAGCTTTAGTTTTTTTATCTTTTTAAAGATAATCAAATCATGGGTGAAAAGTGATAAAGGAAAATATACAGTACAGTAAATCTTCCTTTGTTACAAGAATTGTTATAAGACTTCAAGTTATATATACATTAGGAAATCACAGTTTACCCTCAGACAGTGCAATGTTGTATCTTAACTTGCAAATGTGATAATAATATTGGTTTTTCATTTTACATTAAATGGAAAGGAACACTAGAATTCAAGAATATATGCACAAGGATTTGTATTATTTCCAGCAGGCTGAATTTCAGACTAATTGGTATCATTGTTGTCAATATAAAATTTTAAACAGATATTTAAATGTCTAATCAAACTGCATGAGAACATTATTTGTCACAATCAGACACACTGTTTTCTTTTAATATTGAATCTGTTGGCATTCTTGAGGCCTCGTAAGAATACCAAGGGAAGGGCCCGGCGCGGTGGCACAAGAGGTTAAGGTCCTCGCCTTGTACGCCCAGGACCCCATATGGGCGCCGGTTCTAATCCCAGCAGCCCCGCTTCCCTTCCAGCTCCCTGCCTGTGGCCCGGGAAAGCAGTCGAGGACGGCCCAAAGCTTTGGGACCCTGCACCCGTGTGGGAGACCCAGAAGAGGCTCCTGGCTTCGGATCAGCATAGTATCGGCCCGTTGCGCTCACTTGGGGAGTGAATCATCGGATGGAAGATCATCTTCCTCTCTGTCTCTCCTCTCTGTATATCCGCCTTTCCAATGAAAAAATAATAAAAATAAATCTTAAAAAAAAAATACCAAGGGAAGCCCTAAAATTTGAAATTTTTGAATTCTTGGATGCATTTTTAAAGATGGCTAAAAATATCTGGGCTATGGAAATTTGGAGAGGTGGTTAATACAATTCTGAAAAGGTTAATATTAAAAATAATTAAAGGGAGAAACAAGTTGTATTTTATCTGGGGCTATAGCTAATCCTGCCTCAACTGAGGGAAAGACACTGAAGTTGCTCCTGTAAATCTTTCACAGCTGTGCCCAGATTTAATGGCGCTGATGGCATAGGCAGTGTGTAGAGCTCTATGCCTGGCCAAAACAGATTTTTGCTTGGCACACACTCTATGGGCACATGCTCTAAGGGTGGAGGATCCTCAGAAGATTCAGCTCCATCCTCTTCCCTTTCCTCCTCAGAAGAGGACCG